GGTGGACTCACCGGCGGGAGCCGTGACCAGCTTGGTGGTCATGATGGTCCCATTGCTGCTCACCACCATGATGGGAGAGTTGCTACTGCTGGGCAGTGTCGCCGTGACGGGCTTGGGAAGGATTTTGCTGGGCTGCACCTGCTGGGTGATGATTTTGACACCTGGGAAGGAGATGTTGAACGGGGTGGCAGGGCAAATATAGGGAGGGAGGGGGGAAGGAAGGAAGGAATAAGGAAGGAGAGGGGAAGGGAAGGAGAGAGGAAGGGAAGGAGGGAAGAGAATATGAAGAAGAGAGGGAGGGGAGGAAAGAAGGAAGGAAGGGAAAGGGGGAGAGGGAAGGGAGGGCAGAGAGTATGGAAAAGAGGGAGGGGAGGAAGGAAAGAAGAAGAAAGGAGAGGGGAAGAAAGGGAGAGAGAAAGGGAAGGAGGGGAGGGAAGAGAGTATAGAGAAGAGGAAGGGGAGGAAGGGAGGAAGAAGAAAGGAGAGGGAAAGGAAGGGAGGAAGGAGAGGGAGGAAAGAAGGAAGGGAGAGAAGGAAGGGAGGGAAGAGAGTATGGAGAAGAGGGAGGGAGGAAAGAAGGTGGGAAGGAAGGAAGAAGAAAGGAGAGGGGAAGGAAAGGAGAGAGGAGGGGAGGGAAGATAGTATCAAGAAAAGAGGGAGGGGAGGGGAGGAAGGGGAAAAGAAGGAAGGGAGAGAGGAGAGTATGGAAAAGAGGGAGGGGAGGAAGGAAAGAAGAAGAAAGGAGAGGAGAAGAAAGGGAGAGAGGAAGGGAAGGAGGGAAGGGAAGAGAGTATTGAGAAGAGGAAGGGAGGAAGGGAGGAAGAAGAAAGGAGAGGGGAAGGAAGGAAGGGAGGGACGAAAGAAGGAAAGGAAAGGGAGAGAGGGAAGAGAGTATGGAGAAGAGGAAGTGGGGAGAGGGAGGAAGGAAGAAATGAAGGAGGAGGGAGGAAAGCAAGAAGGAAGGATGGAAGGAAAGAGGGGAGAGGGAGGGAGGAAAGAAGTAAGGAAGAAGGAGAGGGGAAGGAAGGAAGAAGAGAGAGAGGAAGGAAGGAAGGAAGGAAGGGGAGGAAGGATAGGGGGAGGGAGAATGGGAAGAAAGAAGGATGGAAGAATGGAAGGAAGGAGGGAGGGAGAGAGGACAGAAAATTAGAGAAAGTTTAAGGACACAGCCGGGACCCTAGAGCAGGTTGACAAAACATTAACATTCAGAGATTGAAGTCCTCGACTTACAACCCTTTGTTCAGTGGACATTCAAAGCTGCCAAGGGACTGAAAAACTGACCTTTTTGAACACTTACGACCATTGCAGCATCCCCAGAGGACCAAAATCCAGACTCTTTGGCCACTGGCATGTACTGACGACGGTCGCAGTGTCCCGGGAAAGGGGGCGGGGGAAGAGGAGGACTCACACGATTCCCCTTTTGCGACCTTCCAACAAGCGAAGCCAATTGGGGGGGGNGGGGTCCATAAGTCACCTGGGGCGGAACCACTTGGTCGGTTATATAGTCTTTATATTTGTGTTTGTCATTTATTTATTTTTGTATCTGTTTCTTATTTATATTACTTTATTGTTGTGAGTTGCCCAGAGTTGAGTGGCATTCAAAATTGAACAAATTAGAATGTTAAATTAAATTAATATGCAACTATGGAAAATAGCAATTCTAATTACTTTTATATTAGTGGGAATGAAGAAAGGAAGATAAAACGATAAGCATATACAAGCTCATAAAATATCCTATTTTGATACATTTATAAGTGGGAAATGATATGGCACTTGAATCATTGAAATAAAACATAGCTGAACAACTTTCAAGATAAATTGCAAACTAGCAAATAACAGAGTTCAAAGATGATTCCTTGAAAATCACTTCACAAATTAATGCACCTCAGAAATTAATGTATGTGGTCATAGGGCTATGAATTATTTAATATTTCCATAAGAATATCTATGTTGAAATCATTCTACCCTATATGGTTTTCAAAATTGCAAAACTGCTTTATA